AAGTAAATAAATACCATAATTGAAATAAAACTTAGATTAACTCAATTTGATCTCACAATACCTCAATGGAGTTTGCTAAATTTGTTAACTAGGAAGAGGAAATAAATCAGCTACATATGGTGGGCTTCAATACAAAATAAGTTTCTTAAGTTTTGAAAAGGTGAAAGAGAAGAAGATGAAGGGCAGAAGCCATATATGCTGTTACGTGCGAAGTTAGGAAGAAAATGGATGACGTTGATTCCATTTTGCAGCCTGCCTTTTGTACCCCAAAAAGGCTAGGGTTTCTTCTTTCTTTGATTAAGATATTTCCTAATGATTTTGGCTCACTTTTGGCTTTCTAAAATAATCTTTTCTTAATTTTTGGTTCTCAGATCTCGGCTGGAATGAGATTTTTTCATATTCAAAAAATGCAAATTTTTCTTCAAGTTGGCTGCTGTGTGGACACAAGCCTTGGCCAAGGCTTATTTCAGTTATCCAGGGGGTTTGTGAGCTTATATGCTGCCTTAAACTTGCTCGAGGCTTGCTTGTCTGGGAGTAAAACCTATTGATATCTGCTAGATCCAAGCCTTGCTTGAGGCTTATTTATAGTATAATGACTTGTTTCACAAACTCTTCTTTTTTTTATGATGTTTTTCCTTATCTCATCCTTATCTTCTATCATGCAACAAAATATAGAAAATAGTTTGGATTAAATAGCACTTTATCAAATTGATAACTCAAAAGTGGAAAATAAGGATGTTGTTTTTATGCACTATCAAATTCTCCCACACTTATCTTGTGTTTGCCCTCAAGCACAACACAATACAAATATCTAACTCTCCCCCTTCTCTTTCAACTCATCTATTCCCAATTATTCCATCACAACTCACCTATTACCTCTTAATTCTCAAGTTGTAAAAATGACAATCAACTAGTAGTTTGTAGGTTTGAGTTTCATATAATTATACAATGAATAGCCACTTTGAATAATATCCAAACACGACATGAAAAAGTTTTACAAATTTTAGCACACAAAATTTCATTGAAAGGAATAACTAACACCCAGTAGAATAGCCACCAAACCTACCTAGATATAGTAATTTCATGCATTTGGTTCATGCTAAAAAAACAAAAAAAAATCGATTTGTAGCTAACTTGAGCACTTTTATTACTTGCTTAAAATGTCACTACCCTTTTAATACGATGGCAAATATTTGTGATGAATGCACCTATTTACTTAATTGGTCACAGATTCAAGTGGTTACTAGTGCTACTCATAGTCATTTAACTTAAAATATTACTAACATTTTGACATGAGGAAAAACATTTGTGATGAATGCACCTAGTTACTCAGTTGGCCACAATTTCATTTGACTAGAGGAGTAAATCATTATTTGTGCTCCCCTTTTTTTCATATTTTCTAATCTTAGACATGAACCATAATTTTAGACACAAAAATCCAAGCAAGTTATAATAGAGTTCTTCTTAAGCATTTGTATTCACTCAAAAATAAGAAAAAATCAACTTTTAAAGGCAATCCACAAACAGGTCATGTTTAAGACAAATAATAAAAAATAATTATTCATAATGTTGAAAGATAAAAAGCAAGCTAAAAATTCATAGAGGATGGTTGTAGTTACCATTCACTTTTTGGAATATCAAAATTGGATTATTTTATGAATAACTGAGATAGTTGTGCAATAGTTTGGGCAAGAGTTGTTGAAAGTGTAATTGTGGTGTGCATTGGCCAAGGTTAAAGTGTAATTGTGGTGTGCCTTGGGCAAGGTTAAAGTGTGCATCAGCGAGTGTCATAAAAAAAATTTAAACATAGCATAAGCAATGCAACAAAATCTCAAAGAAAACCTAAAAAGTAGCATGTTCCGTCCCCATATTTAAATTACACATTGTCGCCAATGTGATGCAAATCAAGTAAGATATAAAGAAGAAAATAGGAATATATAACATAATAGAAATAATAATAAAATGAAAAGTAAAAAGAGAGAAAAAGGGATAGAAGACTCCCCTGGGATTCATTTGGTGCAGAGACGTGTTGATGCGCACCTGGATTGAGTTATCAACTATGTCAGGGCCTTAACTTTCTCATTCAATTTATGTAAATATTGCTTGATGGAGTGTAGGTTGCCATCAATCACTCATATGTGCAGCAGGGTGTGGTCCATGAATGTTAGGCATTTTCTCTGCTTGCTGTATACTCTTGTGTCTCGGGGCACCAACAACCTAGGTGGTGCAAAGCAGGGGAAGCCATCGTTTACTTCCAAGATGCCCATGTCGTCTAAGGATCGAAGATTTAAAGGTGTTTGTGGCTATGCAAGGTGCATGTATGTTTTATCTATGTCAACATGGGTGGGGAAGATAACAATTCTATTGATAATCAAGCCCAAGTTTAACAGTCGCTAGAATGAGAGGACGTTGGTGAATTATGAGGCGAACCAGTATCCCAAGTTCACCCGACGTCACTGTAACATGCACCATAGAAAATATACTTCGGTTTTAGATACAATGTTTGGTGCATACATGCAACCCAAAAAGGAATACAGGAACTGATGAATGTACTTTATGTAAGGGTCGTGGAGGTAGAGGTCCTTGAACTTGCTGGGGTCATATGAAGTAGGGGGGTCTTCACAGAGTTTGTCGTAGATGGTGACAGACTCGAAATCATCATAGAAATCACAATATGGGTGTTCAGCCACCCCCTCAGAAAATCCCGAGGCATCATTGAACTGCGTGATGAAAAAATGGAAACGTTTGCCCTGCAGATAGTAGGAAATGTTATTTGGGGTGTGGAGGTTGAAATGAGTGGGTTTGTGAAATTGGAAGGTTTTGTAGAATTTCTTAGCTAGTTCTACGCAGGCTGGTATGCCAACGATAAAAAAGTTTTCCCAATTGATGACACATCAGTTTCAGGACACCAGTTTTGATGTAAAGGGTTTCGAGAGCGGGATCGTGAACAGACTTACTTAGTATAATCAAAAGCTATAAATTTCTTCATATCTCTCTTTTTCCAGGTCATCCTCAAAGACAAGATGCCCCTGGAGTTCAAATTCAGTGGCCTGGTGGATGGGTTGCCTTTTCTAGACTCGAGCTCGCTTATTTAACCTTCCGGAAGTCTCATCTTCTTTGGTTGCGTCAATGGCAGTGGGTGGTGGTTGATTTGCATGTTCGATTTTTTGACTAGGTCCAGCTTTGTGAGTGGTGGTTTTCTACGAAAGAGAGTCATAAATGCCAATAACGAGGCTGCCAGGTGCTGAGGAGGCCGTGGTGGAGCTACTCACTCCAGTTGGTGAAGGTCGCTCTTTGTCGGGAACTTGCAGTGCGAAAGTCGTCGGTGTTTCTTGTGTCGTCGCCTCAGTGGTGTGACAACTTATGAAGGGTCGAAGGCCACTAGTTTTTCATGCAGATCTCTTATACCTCATTTTTTTGGTGGTAGAACGGTTAGGGATTAGGGATGGTTAGACCTAGTGTAATGGAGGAGAAAGAGGGAAGTTGGAAAGTGGAGAGGAGAGGTTGGCAGTGAAGGTGGGAAGTAAGGTTAGGGTTTTTCATTGTTGAGGTTTGATTTTCAAAATAAGCAGAAGGTGTCAGTAGCCTAGGGCAAGGGTTGGGCGTATTAGAAGAATTTGTTTTTTGTTTACTTTCATACACTTTGGGCAAGAACTTTAGATGTGAGAGGACCTAGTCGGTTTATGGGTTATAAATCATAAACCTTGGGCAAGACTTATGCAAATCTTGCTATTGGAGGCTAAACCAAGAGAGGTTTATTGGTTGAGTAGGGGGTAGGATCGTAAACCTTGGGCAACACTTACATGGTAACCGAAGGTGATCCCTTCCTGGCTTCTTGTTTTAGCCTTGGGTAAGACTTGTGTGCATCTGAGGTGTAAGACTTGGGAAAGGTTTTCTCAGAATCATCAGATCATTGTTATGGCTTAGGTGCCCTTACAACCTTTAGGCAAGGGTTGTGAGAGGGTCTTGGGCAGAGTGTTGTAGGGTTGGCCATAAGCCTTGGCCAAGGTTTTGTGTGGTTATCCAGTATTCAGTTTTTCTGACTCTGCCACCTGAATTCCTTATTCCTACTCTATAATCATCAAAGAAACTCCGATTAACTTAGAAAAAAATACTATAAATTTATTACTAGTGCGAATGACTAAAGTTGAAAGAAAAAAAAAAAGTAAAAGTGGATGGGTTGCCTCCTATTGAGCGCCCTCATTTATTGTCCAAGGCCAGACTATTCTTTGCTAGCTATGAAGGTGTTTTCCTCAAGAGGGTCCAAAGTGACTTCTTTGTTGTGTGGAAAACCCCTCATTAAAAAGTTTAAGCTGGTGTCTGTTCACCTTGAAAATTTTATACATGTCTAGGCTTTCAATCTCGATAGCATCGTGAGGGAAAGTGTTGTTGATAATGAACGAATCTAACCATCTTTATTGCAACGTTTCAAAAATCTTGAGCTAGGACGTTCTACTATATTAAGAAGATTTTATCATACTTGTAGAATACCATTCATTAATTAACGACCATTTACCACTAAACGAACAGGGCCTTAGTGCCGATACCCACTTACCTTTTCTTTCAAATCGGTTTCACACCTCCCTCCTCTTGTTTCCAACCTTCGTCAAATAAAACCTTTTCCCGCTTCCAGTCTCCACCAAACTAAGCCTCCTCCACTTCAACCCATCAAAAAGCAAACCAAATGAGAGGGAAGAGAGCTTGCACCAGGCGCGCCCGATCCAAAAATAGATGGTCACGAATGACCGATGGGGCTGAAGAAAATCCACAACCGCCTCTAGAAAAAGCCGAATCCACCTTGTGACATGGATGGCTCAATAATGGTCGACCAACACCGCAGTTCCGCAACCGACTTGCTCGGCTCTCTAACTCGAGCACAAGGCGAGTAAAACCCTGAGATAAGTCGTGCAAGGGAAGAATCAGAGTCACAACAGCCTCGAACGGACAGACGTACGAGCGAAAGCATGGGGACCATACGGGCACGAAAGAAAGCAAGAGTAAAAAAAGGTAAACACATTCCCCCACCTGCTGAAGTAAGTTACACGGCCACCTCACTTTCCTGGTGAGTTTAGACAAGGAAAGATATGGAGAAATTTGTACATTAACCATCATGGCAGGTAAAACAATTTATTACCCTACTTTTGAAACTTTGAATATTAAAGATTTTGTGTTTGAATTGATTCGTGGTATTGGCTGGGAGTCTTATTTTGAGATTGATTGCCTTGTTTTTGTGGAATTAGTTAGGGAATTTTATACCACTTGTCAATTTAAGAAAGTCAATGATTTCAATTTGAAAACACGGAATTTGATTACGTTTTGATTAATGAGAACATGATTTATTTTCTCAATCACTAAATTTAACGAGACACTTGGATTCGTGAGTGATACACCTTGCTATGATTTTTTTTTGTGATGAATTTGATGTTGTTGTTGTCTATGTCAATTTTTATGATAACCCACCTGAAATGTTTGACCCTATCAAGTTTAAAGACCTATATTTATGTAAATCTTGTTTGAAATACATTCATAGGTCCTTAGCTTACTCATTTTCAGGTAGAAAAGACGCACCCAACATTCTGTCTAAAGCTAAACTATATTTTATGTGGTGTATGCCTCAGAAAAAAAGAGTGAACCTAGGATTTTCGTTAGCTTCTCAATTTTTGAATGTCATTTCATTTAAAAGAGCATTAATCTTAGGTTCCATCATCACCTGCATTGCTTATTATGTAGATTTAATTGATCTTGATGAGAATGATTTGCACTTTTCTTGTATATTATCTATATTGGATTTGGGATGTTTGGATGAAATGGGATTATTGCACCTTGAGGGTGGTATTCAATATTTTGCCTTATCAGGTCTTATTGTATCCAGAAACATGAGGGTATTCAGCAAACCCAAAGAAGGCGTGCAATTTACTAACAACACACAATCTACATCTGCTACTGCCCCACAACAATCCATCATACCATTGGAAGTAATATTGCAGCAAATTTAGAAGATGGATGAACACCTAACTAGCTTAGAGACATTGAGCCTTTACATGGCAGAAAAATTGGATTGGATAGAAGTACTTATCGAAGCAGTAGAGAGAGCCATAGAGGTCCCTATTTGACTAAAGCAAATTCAACAACTTTCAGATTCACTCCACCTCCAAGACACGTGATCATTGGAGTTGACATGTTCCCTCACCCTTTTTTTTTTTTTTTAATTTATTTACTTAATCATCATTTATAACACATTGGGGGCAATGTGTTGTTTAAGTGTGGGGGTATTATGCATTATTATTTCTGCTATATTTTTCTTTTTTTATGATACTTATTAATGAACATTTTGACTTTGCCCATTTTTTTTCACACCACAAACATACATTCAACAATTTTCAGCTCCAACTTTCACAGCTATTTTAATTATTCTTAAAACAACTCAGATGTAATATTTCAAAGATCGAATTACAATTACAACTATTTTTTATGAATTATAGCTTGTTTTTTATCTTTTCACACTATGAATAATTATTTTTGATTATATGTTTTAAACATGACTTATTTGGAGAATGCTATTAAAAATTAACTTTCTCTTATCATTGAGTGAATGTCAATGCTTATGAAGAACTCTACTATAACTTTTCATGATTTGTGTGTCTGAAATTTTATGGTTCATGTTTAGAATTGATAAAAATGTGAGAAAAAAAAAATAGAGCACAAATAATAATCTATTCCGCTAGTCAAATGACTATGAGTAGCGCTGGTAGCCACTTGAAATTACGACTAGTTAAGTAATCAAGTGCATTAATCACAAATGTTTGTTTTCGTGTTAAAATATTAGTGACATTTAAGTAAGTAATAAAAGTGTTTAAGGTAATTACAAATAATTTTTCTATTTTTATCGTGAACCAAATGCATGAAATCTTTATATCTAGACACGTTTGGTGATTATTATATTTTCTATTGATTATTCTTCTCAATAAAAATAAATGTGTGCTAAAATTTACAAGATTCTCCGATTTCGTGTTTGGATATTAGTCAAAGTAATTATTTATTTATGTTGTTACATAAAACTTTATCCTATGAACTACTAATTAATGGTTGTTTTTCCAATTTGAAAATTGAGATATAACAGATCGAGTTGTGATGGAATGGTTGGAAATAGATGAATTGAAAGTGAAAAGTTGAGAGTTGGTGATTTGTATTTTGTGGTGTTTGGGGCAAACACAAGACAAGTATGGGGAGATTTAATAGTGTGCATAAATATCACTTTTGTTGCTTAATTTGAGTGTACAATTAGGTCACTTACTGCCTAATTTTAGGGATTTTGTTAATTTCTAACGCAAGTATAAAGATTGGACTCAACTCCTGAAAAATAGCATAGTTGAACTGTTTTTGCACGAAAAAATTCGTTAGCATGCGATTAAGTTTTAGGCAAGGCTTGTACCCTAGTGGCGTCAGCAGATATGAGTTGTTTTTAACTGGACTCTTTCAAATTCTAAACCATATCCTTATTTGGAGATGTGATATTGAGTCAAAGTGGCATTTTTGAAAGCTGAAAGATAAGACCGGAATCAAAAGAAGACTCTACTTCATAAGAGTTAATTATTATATTTTTTGTTCTTTAAATAGGGGATAATTAAATAGGGAAGGGCAAGCTGATTTTTCTTTTCTCACTTTTTGTTTTTCTATAATTTCCTCTACGGGATTTAAACAGTTGCCAGTGTTCAACATTCAAAATGAGCAGTTAGATATTCTAATTTTCAGTTGAATGTCTAATTGGAGTTTCGATTTAAGGATTGAGAGATTGAATTAGTTTTTTTTTTCTTATTTTTAATATTTATATATTTTCTGTGTATTCAAAAATTATTATTTATTATATGTTACAACAGAGACTGTTGCGCAATTAACATAATAGTATATTGCTAGTTAGGATTTCTGAATCCATAATTATTTAGATTATTCTAATAACTAGTTGTAAATTAGTATTTACATTAAGGAAATATGTAATCTAATTTGAATGAATCACGTGGTTGAGTTTGTTGGTTAGCATTGAGTCTTTCTGGTTCTTAGTACCGGTAGTGATTGAATTTTAAGAGTGTCTTCATAGTTGTTCATTAACAATTATTAATTAACGAGTGTCTTAATACGCGTTTTGATCCTTACAATAGTTGTCTCATGTTGCAATCAATAGATTTTTCATTCTGTTAGCAAAATGGATGTCTAAAAGCTTGTCAATTATGTGTACTATGGTTTTATAAAAATATACTAAAAAGAATAATTACAGTTATTTTTTTTTATCTAAAGAAAGATGACACATCTAACTTGAAAAAAAAAAAAGAAAAATTATGAAAAAGTATGTATCTTTAAAATCAGTTATATTCTTATAATATTTTATTCTTTTTACCTGCTTTATATTAAAAATTACATAAAAATATATTATAATATTGAAATTTATTAAAAAAATTCGTTTATAACAAAAATTTTAGTGCTTTCTTTCTGCTCTATGTTTAAATCACACAAGATTTTTTTTTAGCCATAAAACTTGATTTGCAGCAGTTGTTGCTGCTATAAATTCAGCTTCTACAGTAGATTGTGCTATAACCTCCTGCTTCTTGAAACACCATGAGAAAGCCTCTGAGCCTAGATTGAAACAATATCCTGAAGTATTTTTCATATCATCAACTGATCCAGCCCAATCACTATCCGAAAAACTACACAGCTTGAAATTTTTACATCTTTTAAACTTAATTCCATGATCAACAGTACCTTTGATATACCTTAATATTCTTTTTACTGCAATTAAATGCATTTCATTAGGGCAATGCATAAATCGGGATAAGAGACTTACAACAAATAGAATGTCAGGCCTTGTTGCAGTGAGGTACATCAGACATCCAATCAAACTCCTGTAATAACCTTCCTCAACTTTATCAGCTCCATCTTCCTTAGTTTCTCTTTTTGATTCATTGATGTGCTTATTGCCTTGCATTCTTCCATCTTAAACTTCTTTAGGATTTCCTTTGCATATTTTTTTTTTACCAATGAACACTTCATTTCCTCCTTGTCTGATCTCTATTCCAAGAAAATAGGTCATGAGACCAAGATCTGTCATTTCAAAAGCCTGCATCATTTCTTTTTTAAACTCTTCAACCAGCTTTGTATTATTTCCTGTCACCAGAAGATCATCAACATATAGGGACACAATGAGTGTGTCATTATCTTTATGTTTCCCATAAAGAGTGGTCTCAGATAAGCTTTTAACAAAACCAAGACTTATCAAGTGCATATCTATCCTGCTATACCAAGCTCTTAGTGTTTGTTTCAAACCATAAAGAGCCTTTTTGAGTAAGTAGACCTTGTCTTCTTCACCTTGCTTCACAAAACATTCAGGTTGCTCTACATATATCTCCTCCTGCAAGAAGCCATTTAAAAAAGTTGATTTGACATCCAGCTGAAATACTTTCCATCCCATTTGTGCTGATAATGCAAGCAGCAACCTGATTGTATCTAGCCTTGCCACAGGAGTAAAGGTGTCAGAATAATCAACACCGTATATTTGAGCATACCCTTTAACAACGAGTCTGGCCTTATGTTTGTTGATAGAGTTGTCTGCATTCAGCTTTGTTCTGAACACCTATTTGATGCCAATGACCTTTTTCCCTTCAGGTCTTTTAATCAACTCCCAAGTTTTATTTTTTGTAATCATAAACAGCTCCTCTTCCATTGCTTTCTTCCACTTTGAATCCTGTAATGCTTCTTCAGGATCACCAGGTTCACAAATTGCCACATTACATCTTGCACAGATGTCTGAAATTGACATTGTACCTCTAACTGGAAGATCATCTTCCAGCTCTTCTTGCCATGAATTTGCTAGGTTCTCATTAGTAACAACACTTCCTGGTTCTTTTGAATAACTATCTTTCTTCTGCAAATTTTTCCAATCCCATTGTTCATCCTCATTAAAGTGTGCATCCCTACTGATTGTCATTTTTTCTGTTTGAGGATGATACACTTTATAAGCTTTAGACTATAAACCACGAAGATGCCTGGAATTGCTTTTTGGTTAAGCTTGTCACGTTTTACCTGTGGCACGTGAACAAAACATACACAGCCAAATACTTTAAGAAAATTTAGTGAAGGCTTATACTCATACCTAGCTTCAAACGGATTTTTATCTTCCAAAGCTTTGGTTGGAAGTCGATTTTGCAAAAATACTACTGTATTGGCTGCCTCTGCCCAAAATTTTTTTGGTAACTCTTTCTCATGCAACATACATCTGGCCATCTCCATTACCGATCTGTTCCTTCTTTCTCTAACTCCATTTTGTTCTGGAGTGTATGGCACAATAAGCTAATGTTCAATGCCAGTTTCTTCGCAAAATAAATTAAACTCTGCTGAAGTATATTCTTTCCATTATCTGACCTCAATGCTTGAATCTTACAGCCACTTTGATTTTCTACCATTTTCTTGAACTTCAAAAATATACCTGCAACTTCTGATTTGAATTTTAAGAAAAAAATCCAGCACATTCTTGTGAAATCATCAATGAAAAGAATGTAGTAAAGACTAACTTGTAACGATGGCGTTTTTTGAGGTCCAGCAACATTCGTATGAATAAGCTGTAATTTTTTAGAAACTTTTCAAGTTGATTTTGAAAATGGCAACCTGTTATGTTTACCAAATTGGCAGGCAGTACAGTCTGACAAATAATTGTCAAGCTCCGGTAGTCCCCTTGTCAAGTCACTTTTCTGCAATCTTAACATCCTTTGAAGATGACAATGGCCAAGCCTCTTATGCCAAATTTCTGTGCTGCTGACTTTGGTGAAAAAAGATATCTGCACCTCTGTAGGTTCATATGAGGAGCTTTTACCTCTCTTTTTAACCCTTAAAATTTCTTTCCCAAATGCATCAAAAATAAGGCAATGGAAATCTTCAAAGGATACCTTAAATCCTTTCTCTAAAAACTGACCAACACTCAATAGATTTTGATCAATTTCAAGTACATAAAGGACATCAGAAATTATTTTTGTACCTGAGCTGGTTGTAATTGCAACAATTCCAATCCCTTTTGCAAGTAGATAGCCTCCATTGCCTATTCTGATCTTTTTGATTTTTGAGGGCCTTAAATCTTTAAAGAGAGTTTTATCAAAAGTCATGTAGTTTGTACAACCACTGTCAATCAGCCAGCCTTCTGAAAAACTTTTGGTTGAAAAACATGTCGCCACAAACATCCTATCATCTTCTTCATCAGCAACTTGAGCAGCTTAATCTTGGTTCTGGAATTTATTATTGCAAATCACAGCTTTATGTCCATCCTAACCACATTTGCCACATTTGGCATCTGGCCTTCTCCAACATTTGAAAGGTGGATGACCTATTTTACCGCAGTGCTAACAAGGTGGGTAGTTCTTTTTCGAATTTCTACCATTACTGCGATTCTGGTTGTTTGCAGAACCTTCAGAAGATGTCGATTGTGTTTTTTTTTTCAATATTCTTCTTGGTTTTTTCAGCCACCAGGTGCTTGGCTAGCAGAGCTCCTTCGACAACACTTTCTTGTCTCATTAGCCTCCTCTAATCTTGAGCTTGCAAGGCATTTAGCAGCTCTACCAAAGTGATCTTGGACAATTCCTTTGTATTTTTCAAGGTGGTAATGGTAGCTTCATATCTTTATGGCACAGTTATAAGAATTTTTTGAACAATTCTTGAATCTAGAAATTGAGTGCCAAACAACCTTACCTTGTTTACAATGCCCAATAATCTGTTTGAGTATTCTTTGATTGACTCGGAATCTTTCATCCTTTACAGTTCAAATTCCCTCAATAAATCCAGCACCTGCATGCCTCGAATCCTTTCATCTCCTTCGTATTCTTCTTTGAGATAATCCCAAATCTCTTTTGCAGATTTAAGAGACATGATCCTTGTGAAGATATTTGCTGAAACAGCCGTAAAAAGATTTGCCTTTGCCTTGGATTTCCTGGTCTTCTTTTCTTTGTGATTTTTCATTTGGGCAACGGTAGGATTGTTTGGCAGTAGAGCGACTTCATAATCTTTTTCCAAGGCCTCCCAAAGATCTAAAGCCTCAAGGTAAGCCATCATTCTCACGGCCCAGAGTTGATAATTCTCACCATCAAACACTAGAGGAGCAATGTTGGAATAGCTGGTTTCACTCTCCATTGTAATCACAGATCCCTTAAGAAGAGAGCTCTGATACCAATTTGTTGTTTTATTTGAAGTTGACAGAAACAGAGGAAGAAGAAGATGCAGAGCTTAAACTTTATGTTGATGAAATATTATTTATTTAATCAGTTACTACATTTAAATAGCAAAAATAGAGGATAAAAACGTGATCCTAGGATAAAGCTACAAATCAGGAACCATATTATCAACATCCTAAAGACTAGGTCTGCTTTATTGACTGAGTCCAATAAAGAAAAAAATCACGTGCAGTTCAAAAACACGTTTTAACAGTAATAAATGTATTGACTCCTTTCCTAACCCTGCCTCTCACTTTTCTTTCAAGTTACATGTACCTCTGTGCTTGAAATCAGGAGCCCGGTGCCAATAACAGACATCTTGTGCCATCTTTTCAGTGCTCTTATCATCTGATTCATATACGAAGTGGATGCAACACTTGGTTGCCTCAAATGGACTCATTTCTACTGAGAAAGTCACTTGATCCCCAACTTTCAACTTTTCCCCAAACTTCCAATGGCTTAACCATAACATATTCTCATTCAGTATAGGAATTCCACAAGAGCTTGGGCCATAGCACCACTTAGCACTTTTAGTCTCAATCCTCATTTCACAATAATTAGGAAATTGAGGATTTAGTGTAGTATTCTTGTGTCCATATACGATGCAAATGTTTAAGCCACTGAACTTTTGACCAATAATTGGACATAGATAAAAGAAAACAGAAGATCCCATATTAAGATGGTTGTACCAACTAGGAACTTCCTTCCCTTCCAGGAAAATGCTTGATATACCATATTCGTGCAATACCTGTTCCAGCGAGATGCCAAGATGGAATGACAAATTTTAAGAAAAATAAAATATGACAACAAAAAGAAGGTGTTATAAACTTAAAGATGTGAGAGGAAACCTGGACTGGGGCTTTTCTTGCTTTAAGTGTAAGAAAACTGTACATATCAACTTCAATGTCGTGGATGGTTTTCGGATTGAACAAGTCCAATTTCATGATGAAATCGATGTCTGTGTCTGTCACCGGCTCTAACTTGAGCAAGTCTTCAATCTCGCTTAGTTCCATACAACCAAACGCATCAAATGTGCTATCCATGGAAATTTTTGGTAGATTAACAATCCTTTTCAAGGATGTGCACCAGCTTACATCTAATATTTTCAGACTCAATGGGAGTTCTAGAAGAGATTGGAGCTCTCTACACCTATTTAAATAAAGGTAACTTAGGGTATTGATGCTGCCGATACTTTCTGGAAGCATGCGGATTGGGTTTCCTACGAGATTTAAACCTTGCAAGCAAGATAGGAAACTAAGATCATTAGGAATAGCATCATCTGATAAATTGCAGTTTGCAAGACTTAACCTTACAAGAGAACGTGGCAAAGAGGCCCATGAGAAACTAGGAGATCGTGGAATTTTTTTTGGAAATAGCCAAGAGGGCTTGATAGTTGAAAGCAATGATTGAGAGGAATATATTGAGCTATTTATGGCAGTTCCATCCGCAAGAAGTACTTTCAGTGATTCCATTTTGTACAAATTTGAAGGCAACTTTTCAAGTCTTGAACAACCATTCAGAATGACTACTTCAAGAGACGTCAACATGCCAATTTGACTTGAAAGTTCCTGGAGATTTTTGTAGCCTTTAAGGTTTAAGAATGAAAGTCCTTTCAGGTATTTAATTGAGTCATCAATCTCAATCAAATTTGTTCAGTACTTCAACTTCAATTTCTCAAGATTGGGGAGTCCTTCAAGATCAGGGCTCCAGACAAGCTTCTGGCAATGACTGAGATTGAGGATTTTCAACTCTTCTAGAAACCATAACAAAATGAGAATTAGTTTTTATTACATGAAAAAGATAGAGAAAAGGAGGAAGAGTGATTGCCATCACACCTTGCCCCCTTTCCAGTCATGATTGAGCTTACTATTGCAGATGTCAAGAACAACTAGCTTCTTCAAATAAAACTCTGCCGGTAAGGATTCCAATGGAAAACCATGCCAGCACAGCCATACTAAACCTTTAGGAAATTTTTCATAAGCTCCAATAAACTTCACATAGTTAAGCTGGAGAAGTTTTAATCTATTCATATTTCTGAATGCATCGGTTTCCAAGTCTACCTCATGCAATGCAGGAAATGAGCTTGTTGTCGCTTTGTTCATTGGTTTCCATGTGAAAAGGCTAAAACAACACCGTTTCGTAGAAGTCCTATCTTGAACTAATGTAGAATCTTCATCACGATATTTCTTTTTACAATTTACATTTGTAACTGTCTCTTCATGGTTGATTTCCTTTAACCTATGCAGGTCAAGGGTCAGGCTCTCAATATTTTCTGTGCCCTAATTACAACAGACACCCATAGTAAAAGTGAATTAGTTGCAAACTGACATCATTAACTGAGAAGCGTGGATAAACATAAGCTTGTAAATCTATATATGCTACTTACCATTTTCTCTTTTAATATATTAAATGCATCCTCATCATGCCATAGTCTGCTACGTTTTCCAGGATTCTTAGGAGATTCTTGGCGGATAATTTCCTTAGCCATTTCTTTGATTAATTGATGCATCCTGAGCTTGTTAGATGCATCAACTGATAAGAGATTCCTGTCAATCAGATTTTCAATTCCAACAGTTGTTATAAACCCACAGTTCTCCAGAATTGTTGCTATATAATCTTTGTTCTTCCCAACAAAGAAACAAGCAATGTCAAGAAATAAATTTTTATCATGATCATCTTGGAGCGAGTCTTAGCTAATTCTAAGAACTTTCTGAATTTTGTCATTGGGAACTATATCTAATTTACTAAACTGACTTTTCCACACATCGATTCTCTTACCTCTCAGAAAAGAACCCGAAACTTGAAGAGCTAATGGAAGTCCATGGCAGTAATTCATGATATTTTTTGGGCATTCCATGTAAGATTCGATGGGATTGTCTTTTTCAAAGGCATGCCAACTGAGGAGCTGAAGTGGTTAATTATCATGCAATTCTTCAACCCTGAATTCCTTATATATCTCATCAAACTGTAGAAGATGTTCATATCTAGTTGTTATGATAATTTTACTTCCTGGATAACACCATTCCCTCATTCTTATTATCACATTTACTTGATCCTTGTCATCTATATCGTCAAGAATAACAAGAACTTTTCTACAACATAGAGCATCCTTAATCTTGGAGAGTCCTTCATAGAAATTGGGTACGTAGATCTTTTGGCCCTTCAGCAAATATGAAAGAAACTGGCTTTGTAAGTGAATCAAACCTTTAGGTTCTGCTAAATTTTCTTTGATATTAGTAAGAAAATTAATAGCTTGGAATATGCTGAAATTTTAGTTATAAATAATTGTGGCAATGGTTGTCTTACCAATTCCCCCAATTCCTGTGATACCCGCCAAGCTAACATCATTAGCTCCATTTTGTAGACATAAATTAATTTTATTTACAATATGATCTGTTCCAACTAAGTAGGAGGGAGCATTCAATACAACTCGATCCAGTTTTCTCTGAACCTGTTCAATAATTTTCTAAATAAACTGTGTTTCAGACCTACAGATTATGCAACACAATAAATGATAGGAACATTACAAGCTAGCATATTGCAGAAATCGTCTAAGGAATGGAAAATTAGGAGTTAAATAAGTGGAATAGGTATTCACCGTGGTAAATGACAAAAGTACGAGCATAGCCATGTGAAAATTTTAATCTTTGCAACTCTAGTTATATGTGTGTGTGTGTGTGTTTGTTTTATTATTTAATAAGTTATTAGAATGCTATAGTCCATGTATACTCCTACTGTTGTATTTTTGTACCATTAGTCTTCTACAACCTAATCCCTTGTAAGCTATAAATAGCACAATGGTCTAATCAATAAGAACCACCCAAGATTATTTTTTCACACTAGAAGAGCACAACTTATCATAAAAAAAACCTAAATCTCTTCTTTCTTTCTTACTACAATCATGACTTTTTGTTCTCCGTCACCATGGCCGTTCCATCGTCCTACTTTTCCCTTCAATTATCATATTCCTCTCACCCATTTTTTGGAATTAAGCATCAAAAACTATGTCAGTGAACAACTTAATGTTAAAATTTCCTGGTCTAAAAGTCTCTTTTTCTTCCTGTCTTTTAAGGTCATGTCTTCAGACTGCTTGTACATCTAAGAAGTTTGGCTCACGTGGAATCAAAAAGCTCCCTCTCTAGTCACAAATTCCTCTGCCTTTCTTGCTTCTATAGCCTCTCAATAATTAAGACCAATGCTTATCGTTCCTCTCAACCTGAACATGGGCAGCCCTTCTCAAATTCATGTAGTTATGGCCGATCAGTGGCCAAGGCCAAAATCAGCAACGAACTGCCCCTTTGGTTCTTATCCACAATCCAATGTTGAAGTTCTTGCTGCAGACCCTGAAGCACAGACCTCAATACGCTTCTCAAATGCTCTTCAGGGTCAGTTCTGTTTGGGCTACAGCCACACTGCCAGAGAATGTAATTCACTGTTCAGGCAGGTGTCTATGCTATCGTGGGCCCATATTGATTCTCTTTGATGCTCATGAAACATCGTAGTTTTCTAATACCGGCACTGCTGCTCATATGACTGACACACTAGGTATTCTCTAATTTACTTCTCCTAAGAATAAATCTGAAGTGATGGTTGGGAATGGTTCTCTATTGAAATGTAATTCAAAGTTTGAATGAGTCTTTATCTTATATGTTAGTTTCCTAGATTTAAGCAAGTTTCTTTTACAGTTGCAAATAGGTAGCAGAGTAGTGGGATTAGTTGTGGGATTTGATGAAGGTTTTTTTTTAGCTCTGTTTATTTTATGTAAGCCTATATATAGAGGCTCTTTTTGCTTGTTTTATATAGACTAGAATCAGAAGAAAAGGTTTACAGGTTCTGCTACGTTTGTTTTTCCTACTCTGTTTTTTTTTTTTGCTTTTATCTTTTTCCATCAAATCTGGTATCAGAGCCAGGCTCTGGTCCTTTTGAAAATTGAGTAAAAGGTTTTGGGGAGTGTAGGGAAACACGAGAGAAAGTGCAGAGAATGGCAGAAAACGTTTTTTTATCATTCTCACAGTCGCTCATACCGATTTTCACAGGTGAAAAGTATGAGTTTTGGAGTATTAAGATGAAGACTCTTTTCAAGTCTCAGGATTTTTGGGATTTGGTCGAATATGGTTTCGTGGATTTAGAAGACCCAGATGAAGAGGCAGAAGAAAGATTAAAAGAAACCAAAAAGAAGGATTCCAAAGCTTTATTCCTAGTTCAACAAGCTGTCCATGAAATAATTTTCTCAAGAATTGTAATAGCAGCAACATCTTTGGAGGCCTGGCAAATTTTGAAGAAAGAGTTCCAAGGCTCATCGAAGGTAATCACGGTAAAGTTACAAACATATCGTCGTGAATTTGAAACTCTGTCTATGAAAAATGTTGAATATATTCAAGCTTATTTGTTTAGAGTTTCTTCTCTAGTTAATCAAATGAAGTCGTATGGTGAAGTGATTTATGAAGAAACGGTTGTTGCAAAAGTATTAAGGAGTCTTACTCTTAAATTTGAACATATTGTTGCTGCTATTGAGGAAGCCCATGATTTATCAAATTATTCATTTGATGAACTAATGAGTTCCTTACAAGCTCATGAAGACAGATTGCTTAGATCATATGAAAAGAATGAAGAAAAAGCCTTTCAGGTGAAGGTGGAGATGCATGAAAATACTTCTAGATGTGGCAGTGGTAGTGGCAGTGGCATAGGTGTCTTTCATGAAGGAGGCCAAGGAAAAGGTGCAGACAGAAGTGCATCTAATGAAGAGAGGCAAAGGAAGATCTTTAAATGTTACTACTCTAACAAACCAGGTTGTAGAGAGGCTTATTGTTGGAAAAAACAAAAAGATGAGAACAACCAAGCAAGTTTTGCAGAGGAACCAGATGAAGAAAGTAAGTTATTTATGGCTCTTTTTTGTGAGAGAGAGTAGTCTAACAATGTTTGGTTTTTGGACAGAAGTTGTTCTAACCATATGTGTGGAACAAAATCATTATTTAAGGAACTTGATGAGTCCGATAAAACAGATGTAATGCTAGGAGACAGCAAGAAGATTTGAGTTGAAGGCAAAGGTACTATAAACATTAAAACTAGTCAAGGGAATGTTAAGATTTTACAAGATGTGATGCTTGTTCCTGATTTATCTCATAATTTGCTTAGCATTGGGCAATTAATGATTAGTGGATAATCAATTCAGTTTGACGATGATTGTTGCACTATTAGAGATAAGAAATCTGGGCAAATCACCGCTAAAGTTCCGATGGCTAAAAATAAAATATTTCCGCTAGAAGTTTCAATGAATGAGAATTGTGTTATGGTTACTAGTGGTGATAGTAGGACTCGATTGTGGCATTTACGTTATGGGCACTTAAATGTTAATAGGTTAAAATTATTGAGTCAAAAGAAAATGGTTTTTGGTTTGCCAAAACTTGAGAATCTTGGTTTTTGTGAAGGTTGTGTTTATAGAAAACAGAGTAAAAAGTCTTTTCCCATAGGAAAGGCCTGGAGAGCCTCTAATTGCCTTGAGTTAGTGCATGCAGACTTGTGTGGCCTTATGAATACAAAATCTCTTGGTGGTAGTCGATATTCTCTGCTGTTTACAGATGATTATAGCCGCATGAGTTGGGTTTATTTTTTAAAAAGCAAGTCTGAAACTTTTAACAGATTTAAGAAGTTTAAAGCACTTGTAGAAAGAAACAAGGTCTTTTAATAAAGACATTGCGAAAAGATAGAGGAGGTGAATTTATTTGAACTGATTTTAATACTTTTTGTGAGGAAAATGGAATTCGCAGGGAACTTGCAGCGCCATACACACTACAACAAAATGGTTTAGCTGAAAGAAAGCACAGAACAGTAGTGGAGATGACCAGAAGTATGATGCAAGCAAAAGGTCTTCCTATTTATTTTTGGGCAGAAGCTGTTGCAACAGCGGTGTATATTCTTAATTTATCTCCTACAAAAGCTGTTCGTAATCAAACACCTGTTGAGGCTTGGACAGGTAGAAAACTAACGGTAAGCCACTTAAAAGTTTTTAGTTGTATAGCTTATGCTTTGGTTAAAACCCATTCTAGAAAATTTGATGAAAACTCTGAAAAGTATATTTTTGTTGGTTACTACTCACAATCCAAAGCATTTAAGCTCTATAACCCCACTAGTGGCAAGATCACCATTAGCAGAGATGTAGTTTTTAATGAAGATGCAAAATGGATTTGGAATGAAGAAAACAAAGAGAAGCATGTTCAAGTGTTAGAAGATAATGTTGCATCATCGTTGAATTCAACACCAACAATTTCCAGTTCCGACACTCCTGGAAGTACAATTCATTTGTTCCTATAAGCAATGAATCATCATCTTCAAGTTCATCAAGTGAAACTCCTCCAAGGAAATATAGATCCTTGCAAGAAATTTATAATTCTTATACTTTTACTCTGCTTGTCTCAGATCCTATTCACTTTGAAAAAGCTGCAAAAAGCAAGGAATGGTATAAAGCTATGGAAGAAGGAGTTGTTAGCTATTAAGAAAAATCAAATATGGGGATTTGGTTGACTTACCGAAAGGAAAGAATGCTATTGGGCTCAAATGGGTGTTTAGAACCAAGTATGATGTAGATGGGAGCATCCAAAACACAGGCGAGCTGGTGTAAAGCTATTCTCACAGGTATCGACTTTTATGAACTTCTCTCTGTGCACGCTTTGAAACG